TAAAACGATAGGAATGTGAATTTTACAATTTCAGATAATTTTTACATTTCCTACATCGAGTTTGGATACCAAAATAAATCATTTCTTTTCTCAAATCGATAATGTAGTGTTAGTTTATCTCTCGAGATAACTAATATTAATTATGCAAATTTATCTAAAGAAATACTAAATCCAAATTAGTGAAACAACAACATTTAATTTGTCCACACCTATCCCACACTAGTGTAGTAAAGATGTATGCAAGCCATAGTGTGCACCGAAGTCCTTAGGCCTCCAAACAAACTATGGACTATGCTAGATCTTATGGGGCAAACACGAGCTATGTGTCCTTCCATATCACAAGAATAACACATCACTTTAGGAAATAGTCATTGTATGTGGTGCCCATGATGAGACTTAAAACAATAGGACAACCATCGAGTAGATGAGTGTCATTTGGTCTGTAGGTGATCGCGAGGAAAATAGTGAAATATATCATCTGAAGCATTCATAGTCATTGTATGTGGTGCCCATGATGAGACTTAAAACAATAGGACAACCATCGAGTAGATGAGTGTCATTTGGTCTGTAGGTGATCGCGAGGAAAATAGTGAAATATATCATCTGAAGCATTCAACAAGACTATCGTGATGGTAAGATGAGCATAGGTGGGAGATGAGCATCGTATGTTATTTTGAAGTAATCTAAAATTCATGCACTCGCAGAATGCTTAACAGTAATATCCACGAATGGTGGATGAAGAATTTCTTTAGAGGCTTTTAAATTATTAAGAAAAAAGAACTTACAAATGAGTCATATTTATTTACTTTATTAGAGGTGTTTTAATTATTTTTGGAATATTCTTTATTATTGTTAGCAATTGATGATGTTGATTGCATTCTTTTATGTTCAAATTATGAGTAGACAATATTGTTTAAAACTTATCTAGTTAGCAGCCTAGGCCTATATTGACCTAAGAGGACTACATTGATTTGGAAGTAGTGGCAGTGATTAACCATTGGCGATTTATCAGGTCTATGATATGAATATAAAATGCCATATATGATGATAACAAGAGTGTATTAGTGGTCATGGATTGAAGTTTTGGTGAGTCGATTTGTTTAAATAATTCCACGAAGGGTCATTGCCTCTTGAAAGGATCCAAACACGTGACAATTTCCTACCATCTTTATATGGATTAATTCCTCTTCTTGAAAGGAGCATACTGAGACAAATAGCTCATTAAGTTGTGAAGGTGTTTTTACCTCTAAAATATCTCAAATTATGAGTGACATGAAAAAGATTTGGGTCTAACTATCTAACTTGGCGCCATATTTAAAGGGGTCCATGTTGACATCCCTGGGAGAGCTAAGGGTCAGGGAACATCTCGCTGTGCATCTTTGGCCATTAGTCCACAACCTTAGTTTAGATGATCAACGGATCTACTAAATCAGACACTAGTTTTTCTAAAATTAGTCTCAATCAATTGTTAATCAACTAAATGGAGGCTTAAGTTCATTAAAGTGCACAAAACGTCAATTAAATAAACAATCCATAACTTAGAAGGTTAATGGGCCATCATTAACCCTTAATGGCTCGCCACTGTCATATTAATGGGTAGTCGCAAAGTCCTAATGGTACATTGCTAATTATACTCCAGTAGCTTTGGTAGACTTTAGGCTTGAAGCACTTTAAATATAATATAGTGACAAAAAATGCGAATTAAAAAATTTAAATGTACATAATAAAAGAAGTGCTTTAAGGAAGAAGGGAAAGAATTTTAGAATTCTCTCTAATCACCTTCTCTCGAGTGTGACAGGATTTTAGCAGGGATTCTTGAAGTTAGTTCTTGTTGGATTAAGTGATTCCAAGGGTATTTGCTGCCTAGGTATTTATGGATGTGGAATGGACAGAAACTTGTAACACCCCAAAACCTAATGGAAATAATTGAAACTATTCCTATTTCATCTAATCAATCATACACAACCAAAGCCACTAAAAATATTTTTATTATGAACAATAAACATGAATATTTATACAACAATAGCAACAACAACAACAACAACAAGCCTTTGTCCCACTATGTGGGGTGGCTACATGAATCCTTTTTCGTAAAATAATTAAATACACAAAATTTTAATTGAATCATAAAAAAAATACATTATGAAATATCATAACGTCCTATAGACCTTATTAATATTTTCCTATTTTGTTGGGATTTTACCCTTTCCTTAAATAATATAGAGTGTGCATACACATCCTTGAAGGCTACACAAGATACTGAAGAATCCAATATTCTACATTTAATTACATTATACGAGACTTAATTAAACATTGAAATGTAAAACTAGAGAAAATATAAGTAAATATTTATATGTGATTACAGTAACAGAGGAACCACGGTACTTGCACCAGAATGGAACAAAACAAAACGTTGCTTGCACTAAAATAGAACATAACAAAATTTCACTGGTATCAGAACAAAACTTGAATGAATGCAACATGTATTGCATGAGTCACATGAAGTATATGCAACGAAGCAAGTCCCTCAGCCTTCTTATAACTCTATTTCCACTTATATCTCCCTTGGCCATCTCATATCTGTTTTAAACAGATAGAGGAATACTCTTAGAGAGGTCAATATACTCATAGAAAATTTTAGGAAAAAACATAAAAATTAAACTAACTATTGAAATTTTGCATTCTTAAATATCTGATGCTTAGAGTATTCTATTCTGTAACATATCAAAAGTTACATGATGAAAAAAGTTCATCAAACTTAAAAAATTACATAGAACCCAAAATCTATTCATACAAATGTCGAAATTGAAATCTAAAGCATGAAAGCATAGATTACCTTGAGCTGAACAATTTCCTAAACACGCTCAATTGACAAAAATGGCCCAGAGGCTCCTGAATCACTTCTTCTTTCTTCTTCCCCTCTATCTTTTTCTCTTTTCTTTTCTACCAAATTAGGGATGGAGTGTAAGAGATTTTAGATATTATGTAAAAATGAGATATTTGAACTAGCTTTGTGGTGCCTCCTTCCATAGTGATGCAGCGCTCCACCAAAACCTAGTCAACGTGCATATAGTGATCGTGGTGCCGCAGTGTCCACCTTGAACTTTACCCCTTGATGGAGAGCTCAGCACTACAGCACTGCCATCACAGTGCCTCAATACTTCCAATACTTCCAAGCAAATCCTTAGACATAGTTTTGCTTCTCTTCAATTGAACCCACCGACGAGTATAGACTGAAATGAAATAGAAAATAGTTTCACTTATGTAGCAATTAATAGAAATATGAGCGAACTCATAAACCTTACTGAATCCAACTCTATGGACCTGCTCCTAGTAGTTATGAGTTATTTCATTCTCCCATCCTTAAACAAATGTCGCTTTTAAAGGGTTCAATATATCTCAGACAGAGCTTTTCTTCTTTGTCAAATCTACTTACACCTTTTAAAGGCTTGGCTTTTAGAAATACAAAATCTTCGACTTGAAATTCAATAGCTCAAAACTTCGAATCATAATACTTTCTTTCCCTATCATGAGCTGCTTCTAATATTTTTCAAATTAATCTGATCTTCTTAGTAGCATTGTCATCATTTTAGGACCCAACAATCTTCTCTCACCTATCTCTTGCCCTGCCCCAAAACCTAAGGAAGAGTTGATCCTAACATAATCTAGTTCAACTGCAAATGTCTATATAAGTTTTCTTTCCTCCCCGAGGCAACTAGTCATCCATTATACAATAATAAATGAAATGTACACAAAATCATATAATTCAATTTTTTTTCCAAAACGTTGATTTACATTAGTCCAGAAGAAGTTCAATACATCAAAATAATTTAAATAAACTAGACTACAAAAGAATATATTTCTACTACTCTGCACTGATGAATTCAACCCGATCAACTATCTCTATCTACATGATGAAGCTCCTTTATTTCCCTGAAAATGTGGAGATAAACTTGGGATGAGCAATTCAGTTGCTTAATAGGTCTTCTTATTCTCTCTTCAATTATTCAATAATAATAAATGAATAATATTAAAAATATAAAAAAAAGGTTTTACTTATTAATCGAGTTACTAAGTTATAAAATGCTTCTACTTTACAATGTTCTTGATGCAAACATGGTTTTCCATTAGTTATAAAATGCATCCAACTTGCTGTCATGATAAGTGAACTAAAACATAATATTCACTTAGAAATACTTGTACCTGAACTTGTAAATGATACTAACATAACTTGTTTTTACTTGTACTTGTAAATGTAAATAACATAACTTGGTCACTTGTACTTGTTAATAACATGACTCGTTCACTTATACTTAAGTTGAACATAATACATATCATTTAAACTTACTTAGAAACATAGGATTTTTTTTCATGCATATGCACTTATGCAATCATGAGTTTATGCACTGTCCAAATGACTATTTATAATTTCACTTTCATTTATACCTCCACTTGATCAAATCTCATGTCTAAACAAGATAGATAGAGATGTACCTGATTCCCCTTAGAATTTCACTTCTACTTATAGTTTTACTCTCACTTTTGTATAGAATGGAAGGAGGAATACATAAACATGATCAATATGTATGGGCCCATAAAACATAACTTTTACTTGAACTTGATCATCTCCCCACATAACATCCTCCATATGCAATGCAATTTCACATGAGAATATGAACAAGGTCATGGGCATTTCAACATGTAGTACTAGCTTTTAACTTATACTTGAATATATTGAATTGACACATATATCCCAGTTGGCAATACAGAGGTGAAACTTGGACATAGTCCAATAGTAAAATTTCAGGCAGAAACTCACGAGAGACATTCAAAGTAATAATTATGGCTTTTATATTGCAGTGGCACTTTTAAATATAATTAATACAATTTCTTTGTTTGTCATCTTGTCCTGAGGAATATATGGACTTTGTCTGATGCTTTGTCTCAATGAATCAATCCTTGTATCTTATGAAGTCGTTTAATTATGACCCTTCCTCTTTTTGAACAGCCTAAAGATCTTTTTGCCATTAACAATCACAGCAATCTTGGTTATCGTTCCGGTTAATGTATCTGGTGGAACTTTACTGGATCTCAAGAAAGAAATAGTTTTCAGTAACATTGATAAGCTCTCAATTTCAAATGTCAGACCCGGATCTGTGAGGTGAGTTTGAGTTTCTTTTATAATACCTGTTAGATATTTGCTTTAAAGTAAAAGTTTTTATCAGTGTCCTTGCTTTTTATTAAGGTGCAGAAATGTGTGAATTGATTTATTTTGTAAGATGTGGAATTTTATTTTTTTTTTGTCCAAATTTCCGATGCAAAGATTTGACATAGATATGTGTGGGGAGGAGGTTCGTATTTGGAAATCTATAAATTTTATTATTGATACGATATCTTGTTTGTTTTAGGTTCTGGGTTCACCTGTTCATGACGTACTTGTTCACCATATGGACTTGCTTTATGCTATATAGGGAGTATGATAATGTAGCTTTTATGCGATTGCATTTCCTAGCATCACAGCATCGCCGTGTTGAGCAATTCACTGTAAGTAACTTAAAGTTCTAATTTACATGTCCTAAGGGCTCATTTTTTTTCATTCCTTGTGAAACTCCTATGGAAATTAATATAGTTTATAGGGGGTTTATGTTTTATTTTTTCCTGAGAAGAATTGTGGAAAACAAATCTTATACTTAAATTTTGAAAGTTTTCATAGGGAATTTGCACCAAGCTGCACTTCTACGACAGCTTCTAAAGCTCTTCATTGTCTATTTTGGCTTTAAGAATAATATAGTTTCCTTCTAAATAATGTTCTAGAGTTGGGTAAATATTTAGTCACTTTTTATGTTTTATGCCATCCCACTATGATAAGGCAAATGATGATAATGATCATGATGACTTCTATGCTTTTTGCCGTTGGGTGATGGCAACTTTTTCAGGTAGTTGTCAGAAATGTTCCCCGCTCTGGTAATTCTATTTCAGAGACAGTGGTCCACTTCTTTCAGAAAAACCACCCAGATCACTATCTTGGTCATCAGGTGATTAGTACTTCTCATAACTTTTTCTTGAGCTGCATTGGATGTGTTTTGAAATATGATGCTGTTGTCAAGCTATATGTTGTCATTTAATTTGCTCTCTGCTTTCTTTTTTCTTTAATCCATTATCTTTCAACTTTAGGAGTCCAAACTTATTTACTGAATTCATATTTGTTTGTTATTGTCAGGCCGTTTACAATGCCAACAAATTTGCCAAGCTTGTGAAGAAGAAGGAAAGGCTGCAAAATTGGCTGGATTATAATTAGCTCAAATTTGAGAGAAACCCTGACAAAAGACCAACCAAAAAGGTATACCTCAGTTAGTCCCATAGTAGGTAGTCAGCTAGTAGTGCTTTGAAGCAAGGTTGCATTCAGCATATTTGTGCAAATATTTAAAATTTGGTGTGTCCTTGTTACCCATGTCAGGTTGGCTTTCTTGGCCTCTGTGGTGAGAGATTGGATTCAATTGGCTATTACAAGCAAAGGATCTCTGAGGTTGAAAAAAGAGTAAGATTTTAGATTTTGATGAACTACTTATGCATCGCCTTTCCTATATTGTAGTCGTTATTGTTAGGTTTGTGAAGACTACCACAGCATCATCTTAAGAATTGAGTTAAAGAATGCTGCTAACTACTACATCCATGAATAGAGTTTAATCAAGTAAGCCATGACTAATAAGCAATAGCAAGCAGCAGACATTGCCTTTTCAATTTCAATTGTAGGCTCTATTTGATATAGTTTTCTACAAGGAAAAAAATTCAATTGTGTGACTGCTGCAACATAGCATTTTTAGAACTATTCTCTCGTTAGCTTCCCAGAAAAATATTTTTGTGGATTTTAACTTCCCTATTTATTAGCTAGTTAATTAATTAATTAATTAGTTGTAGACTAATATAGTATTAATCTTCAAGCTAATATTGTATTGTGTTCTTTACCATACTATAGCTACATGTAATAGAAGAATAATTGTATCAGATGGAATGTGAACGGCAAAGGATTCTCAGAGACTCTAAAGCTGTTTTGCCTGTTGCTTTTGTGACATTTGACTCAAGATGGGGAGCTGCTGTTTGTGCACAGACCCAACAAAGCAGGAATCCTACACATTGGTTAACTGATTGGGCACCTGAACCACGTGATATCTATTGGAAAAATTTGGCTATACCATTTGTTTCCCTTAGCATTCGGAGGTTTCTAATGTCGATTTCATTGTTTGCTCTGGTGTTCTTTTACATGATACCGATTACTTTTGTTCAATCCCTTGCAAACCTTGAAGGCCTTGAAAAGGTTGCTCCTTTTCTCACACCAGTTATAGAATTGTAAGTATTTCTCTACGGGGAATTTGATCAACCGCTGGCTGTTGCTTCCATAAATTTACTTCTTAGTATTCTCAGAACGAATTTTTTTATAATGTTATATTTGCTTGCTTGATTATATAATTTGTGTTGGATATACATATCAATAGAATTAGGTTGATGTAAGAATAATGTAATCGTTGGACTAATGATGGCTTTTCTTTCTTTCTACTAAAACCCTCAAGTTATGACCTAAAACCAACAACTTAATTGGCACTTGGCAGTTCACATTGTATAACTATGCAAGCAGAAAACCCATTACTTTATTAGCAATGTGAATAATACACGACGATTCAGGGTTAGGCAGTCAAAGGAACTCCGGGACTCACAGTTCCTAAACTGTTAATTAAGGCTTCGTTGGGACAGCTTTCTTACTGCTTTTTAAAACAGCTTTTTAGTAAAAAAATTAAATTTTTGTACTAAAAAGCTGCTTTAAGAAGAAGCAAAAAAGCCATCCCAAATGAAACCTAATTCAACAACTTGCTTTCTTTGAATGGTTGTTTTGTTGGATATTTTCACAATACATGTAATTTATTAAAGCAGAAGTTGATTGGGCAGATGCAATTCAAATGTATGAAAATATATTTTTTATATTTATTACGATACACTTCAAATGTATTGACATGTGGATGAGGGCATGCAACAACAACAGTCGGAGGAGGGCGGGCAGGAATCACGGGAAGACACAACACAAGATTTGAAAATTGTCTAATTTGATATGTTTCAAATTAGGTGGAATAGAGGTTTTGGGGTATTTCAAATACCTCCAAATTCTATGTTGTATTTCTTTTGTTTTAATCAAACATTAAAAAAATAAAATGTAGAGAAATAGAACAATCAGCATAACATTTAAAGCCCAAATGATAACAAAATGACCCAAATAATTCAAGAAATCTAAAATAATTTAGGACCATGTAAAATGAGCAAGCAATTGTAATCTATTTTTAGGAATTAAATTACAAAATAAGAAATGAGGAATCCAAGTACTAAAATAAAAATAAAAAAGGCCTTGTTGATGTCATGTGCCTAGGTGACTATGCGTGTCTTTGATGATAGCAAATAGCCAAATATTGTGCTGTGCCATTAATGATTTGTTAAGCTTTTTTTAGGTTAATCATTTACTAGCAATCAAGATAATGATGATGGATTTCATTGAACATTTCTTGAACTTTAGTCACTTGGATATGGACACAACTTGATAAATTTAAGAAATCTCATGTGCAAAGTGAAGATTCAAGGCTGTGTAATTTTTAGGAATTAAATTACAAAATAAGAAATGAGGAATCCAAGTACTAAAATTAAAAAAAAAGGCCTTGTTGATGTCATGTGCCTAGGTGACTATGTGTGTCTTTGATGATAGCAAATAGCCAAATATTGTGCTGTGCCATAAATGATTTGTTAAGCTTTTTTTTTAGGTTAATCATTTACTAGCAATCAAGATAATGATGATGGATTTCATTGAACTTTTCTTGAACTTTAGTCACTTGGATATGGACACAACTTGATAAATTTAAGAAATCTCATGTGCAAAGTGAAGATTCAAGGCTTTGTAATTTTGTGCTTGTGTTTAGAATATTTTTCATTATAAATAGATTGAGTTTGCATAAGATAGTGAACACAAATAAAAATTATTGAAATTTCATTTGCAAGTATTCAAAATTATATTTGAATATTATAAAAATTATTAATATCATTGTATCTTTAAATAATTTATTTGGCTTGATTTTATATTTAACTATATTTTGTCAATTAAATTTTTAGCGCGTGATTATTAGTTATTATAATTTATGCAAACAATAAGTACCAATCAATTGAATAGATAAAGAATAAACTCAGATGAATTCCCTTCCCAAAATCATTGATGAATTTAGAATAATTTATAAACACAATTTACATTAAATTTATTATGTGTCCATTATTCTTCAAAACTTTGGTAAATAAACTCAATCAATTCATAATTAAGAGCATCTAAGACACATCAAGCTACCTACACGTTGCAGTCCTTGATTCTTCAATTTAGCCTTCTTGTCTTGTATGCTTGATCTCATTATCCAAGTGACCAATCCTCTAAGTTGCTAGTGAAATCACATTATCTTCATGATTGCTAAAATATGATTAATATAAAAAAACACTTAAGAAACTATTTGATAATGTCACACGAGGATTGTAGTTGTCATTAATAATGAGTCACACCTGAATCACGTGGACTTCTAGGGTTAACAACTTGAACAATTTTTCAGCTAGCTTTTACTTTCGTTATGCCTCTCAAAATGGACTAAATCCTTCAAAGAATCCCCATAAACTGTTGGCCATCTAATTAAATTTTAAGAGGATAATAATGCTAACCATTTGCAATTGATATATGCTAATAACATAACATTGCATATCATGTGTTTGTGAGCCTAACAGCTTCTAACAAACTTTGTACATTACTTTTTTTCTTGGCAGTTAATCCACATTTAGCTGTGCTAAGAAAATCAGTAGTTTATAATAGTATATTGTTAATTTTATTGGGTGAGTTCATAGTTCCTTCTTTTCTCACATTTGCAGTGGAACTAAGAAAAAGTAAATGGGCGATTCCATTCTTCTTTATGAATTCCCAAAATACTCTATCTGATTTATATGCCCACATGCACCGGAGGATTTATTAATGTGATTTAACTAATGACTAGGGATTATTTAAGCATATCTAATGTAGTTAGCTCTTATGTGGGGTGATCTGAAAGGATACTTTTTCTGTAACAAATGGTGTTTATCTCTCCTTTGCTGCTTTTTTATTTTTGAGATGCAGGTTTGTGCGTATTGGTTAATGGATAAGCACATCAGATTTTTCTTTTGCTGTATGTGGAACTTGAGTCTCTTCTAAATTGAAAGACGAATTTCCAATATTTTTGAATAACTATTGATTCTTTTACTTCATGTTTTGCTTGTATTTAATGTTTTTTTCTTAAATAAAGAGTCAAACTGTAAAGCATATATGTTTTTATATCTTTTTGATACCTACTAAATCTTGGTTCTTTGCTATTTTTCAGAAAGTTGACCAAATCCTTCTTACAAGGATTTCTTCCTGGTTTAGCATTAAAAATCTTCCTATACATTCTTCCAACATTTCTGATGTTAATGTCAAAAGTTGAAGGCTATTTATCACTATCAGCACTTGAAAGAAGGGCAGCTGCAAAATATTACTATTTTATGCTAGTAAATGTATTCTTGGGGAGCATTGTGGCTGGAACAGCTTTTGAGCAACTTTATTATTTCCTTCACCAGCCGCCTGCCAGGTAATTTTCTCTTACCATCTTTCTTGATTATCCAATCTTTCTCTCTTTTTAATAATACATTACTTTAGTCGTTGAGTTATGTGATCACTGTAATTTTCGTGATTTATGTTGAGAATTGAGATTATAACATTTTTCCATGGTATCTAATTAACTTCACGGACTTCAGATACTTAAAGTTTGCACATGCTAATGTTGTCATATATGTGCATAATCATTTTTTTTTCTTGGGTTAAATTTGTTTTCTTAGGATTCCAAGAACAATTGGAGTATCAATACCAATGAAAGCTACATTCTTTATGACATATATAATGGTTGATGGTTTGGGCTGGCGTTGCTGCTGACATTCTTAGATTGAAGCCACTTGTGATATATCATTTGAAAAGTATGTTCATTGTGAAAACGGATCGGGATAGACAAAAGGCGATGGACCCTGGCAGCATTGGTCTTGCTAAGAATCTTCCTACTATGCAGCTCTATTTTCTTCTTGGACTTACTTATATGCTGTGGTTACTCCAATACTTCTTCCTTTTGTATTGATATTCTTCATCTTCGCTTTCCTTGTTTATAGACATCAGGTTAGTTTCACCTCCTCTAAGATCAATTTTTTCATCTATGATGATGTTTATTGATCTTTTGTTCAGTTTGTTTATTTTAAGCTCCTGTATATACAACAAGCTGTAAATTATTGGATTTGAATTGATTTGGGCTCAAAGGGGCTAAATGGGTCAACCAGGTTGACCCTAGGCAAGGATCCAATGGGTTGGGTCTGACCTACTGGATCCAAGGGAGGTGAGAATTAAGTCCAAGAATCTCTGGATTTGATTTGAAATCAAGTAAAGGGATTTGGGTCAACCAGGTTGACCCAGGGCCTAGGTCTGGACTCAATAGACTTGATTTAACCCATTGAACATAAGAGAGGCGGTCTTGGGGTCTGACTTGGTCAATTTGACCAGGTCAACCCTTTGACCCAAGGATTTAGAGAATTCAAGATCAACAGAGAATATCACTATGATTCATTCTCAATTCGTCTCTTGCCTGTAAGGACGTGGCACGTGTCCTCTAATCAATAGTTTTGCCATCAAATGTCACCATAGGTAAACGGTTATGACTAGGACCCTCTGAACCAGATAGTTTTGCCTTCAAATGGCACCACTAAATTACAGTTATTGTTAGAGCCCGTATGCTCTCCAATAGCTTTAAATCATTGAGATATGAATCAATAGGATATAATCGATAGTGCACAAAGCCCTCTATTAGCTAAAGTGGATTCAAATTTATCCCCTTAGATAAATATTTACCCCAGGTCTACAAGGTACATTTGGACAAAGCAACCCATGGCTGCTAACAAGAATTTTTTTGTCGGGTTGGGTCGATTATCTGCTCTGACTAAGTAGACTAGGGGCCACGAATCACGATGGTCCGAGATGACGAAATCATGGGATCTTGATTGGGTCTATCATCTTTTCTCTACCATCTACTTTAAGTGCAAGATGGTAAATTTTTAATTTAAAATATTAACTTTTCAAATGTCAAACTCATGCTGCTACTATACGCCATTTACTTTATATCTATTTGACGACTAACCTTAATCGAAAGTTCTCTCTTGTTATCGGGAGGGGTAATTAACTATAGGGGCTTGCGCGAAAAAGAATGAAAGGGATCCGTGGAGAGGCCGGGGCGTGAATTTTCGGAGCCCACATCTCCAACCATAGTGTTTCTATTACACCCCTCAAACTCTAAACCTTTTAACCTTATCTACTGTGTTCGAACCCGCTATGCAAACAAATTTAATATCAGTTTCCAACTTTTGTCTCACAAGAAGTCACCATTGAATTCTTACAAAATCCATTCTTTGTGAAGATTTGTCACATAGGAAGTAATACTTATGCAAGGAAATACTATAATAACATTTATTAGTGGATGAAGCTGATCTCCATTCATCCACCCTTACTTGCTCTCTCCACCATCAAAGCTCCAACCTCATAGTGGCATGCTTAGGCTACCCGTTCTCCCTAATTCTACGTCATCTTGTCTCAACCAAACATCTTGAGCTATCATCACCTAGTCTCTCCTTTTTTTGTGATGCTCGTCATTATAATAAGGCACATAAGTTACCCTTTCAAGAGTCCGCTCTTTCAAGCACTTGCCCCTTAGAATTAATCTTTTTCACATTTTTGGACGTCCCAAATTCACTCTATGATCATTACAAATACTTCATTTTACACATTATATTTGGCTATATTCTCTCAAGCACAAATCTGATGTATATAATGTCTTTATGCATCTTAAATCAATTGTTGAAACTTTCTTCCAAATATCTATTATCACCCTCTATATTTATAATGGTGGAGAATGCATCTTATTGAATGACTTTCTATCAACAAATAGAATTTCCACCTCACAACTCGAACATAAACACCTGAGCACAATGGATTCTTTGATCATTGTGATCTACTTATTGTTGAGATATATCTCTCTTCTTTATCATACATCCATTCCTCTTCAATCTTAGAGTCATGACCTCTACATTGTTGTCTTCCTCATTAATTTTTTGCTGATAAAAGATCAAAATCATGGAGCCTAATGACTAATCTTAATTGAAAATTTTCTCTCATAAGCAAGAGGGATAGTTAATTTAGGGGCTTGTATCCATGGAAAACCCTAAACCATATTATAAAATAATTGTTAGAGGGTGAATTTTGTAGGTGCTGTCTTATTTGATATTTAGTCCGCCTTGTAAAAATTTAGCCTGTAACCACTCAAAATTATCTAATTACAGTTGGGCTAATATTTTTGGATGCTACACTTACATCATTAAGAATTATCTTATTTATGTTTTTATGTTTAATATTCAATTGATTAGAAGTATATGCTCTATCTTCAGCTCTATTGCTTACTGCAATTCCATGCAAATTTCAACTTAACCTCCCTTAATTATAAGTGACTTAATATTGAAGAAGTGCAAATTTTTACTTTGCATAACAATTGAAGATTTGTTGATGCCAAGTTGTTTGCAAATCGCAGATCATTAATGTTTACAACCAAGATTATGAAAGTGCTGGTGCATTCTGGCCTCATGTACACAGTCGCATTATTGCCAGCTTGTTGATATCCCATTTACTACTACTTGGTCTTCTGAGTACAAAGAAAGCTGCATATTCTACTCCTTTGCTTCTAGTTCTACCTTTGTTCACTTTATGGTTTCACAAATACTGCAAAAGTCGATTCGAATCTGCTTTCCAAAAATACCCACTCGAGGTGCATTCGTTTTACCTCGTAACATGAGTTGATATTAGCGTTTGGGACGGCTTTCTTATTGTTTTATGAAGCTTTTTTTTAGTACAATTTTTTTTTTTAGTTTAAAAAATTGTTATACTAAGTAAACGAAGCCTAAGATTGATTAAGGTAAGTAGGAAGCTTATCGTGGCAATCAGTCGAAGGAAGCCAACAAACTGAGAAAACCAAAAAAATATTATCTTTTGGTCTACAAATTGGATTGTGTGGAGAAAATTGCAATATTCAAATGATATTTGTGTTTAGTTTCTGTGATTTCTTTTTGAATTTTGATTGATTGTTTCAGGAAGCAATGGAGAAGGACGCAATGGAGAAAGCTTCCGAACCTGACCTTAATCTCAAGGCCTATTTAGCTGATGCATATCTTCACCCCATACTCCAAATAACTGTTGGGGATGGGGAAATGGAGGAGGTAAGGGTAGACAAGAACCGAACCTGTGTGTGCTCACAGCAATGAACTGAAACCAGTCTCCCATTTTCACCTTATGTAATGCAACCATGATTGGGAGTCTTGATTATTTCTTCATTGTTAGTTGTTAGATTCACAGCTTGTTATACAGTCTACCAGTTCTTACCAACACAGTAGATTTTCTTAAATGTCATTGAATATGTTTGTTAACTTCATTAAACTGATTGAAGCACATAATTGTTCTTCTAAATGCTCAAAACTAACTTGCAAATTCTGTTTTTCATGCCTTTTCAATCAAATTGATGCTTAAACTGTAAATACTGCAATATGTTGATCCAATACATTACACAATGAAGGGGGAGGTGTAAAGTTTGTAAAATGGAAATGGAGAATTCATAAGCTCACTCAAATAGTTGGAGGATCATGCTTATGATGATTATTATTGAGTGCCATAAAAATTACGATGTTAGAGATTCAAAGTTATATCTTAGCTCGTATGAACATCTCCAGAATACATATTAAAAAAAGTAAAATTGCACAATCTAGAGAAAAAAGGATTCATGTAGCTGTTGTTGTTGTTGTAGTTGCTGCACAATCTAGAGGATTCAGAGTTTTTTTAATGGGGAGAACCTGGAGAGAAAAAATTATGAGATTTGGCCCAAGAATAGATCAATTAGTCTCAATTTGAGGTTATGAATATTTACCTTCCCTAAAATTAGAGAAGACTAAAATAGGGTTCAATTTAATTGGTTATTATCTCCTAATATAGTAGTAAGAGAGGTGATATCAATGAGCAATGATGAGCATCAATCAATGATTTTGATGAAAGTCAATGATTTATGTTTGTTGGGCATTAGTGATGTTGTTTGACTGGGAGGTTAGGAGATAATAGTTGGCTAATGATTTATGTTATTGAAGGGGCAATGATTGATTGTTCCTACACACAATCTTAATGGGGAAATCATTGAAGTGGCAATAATCAAGGGTGTGTAAACTTTCATATTTATTGTCCATTGGCAGATGATAGTAAGTATATGTGAAACCCTTAAATTTTCAATTTATGTTTTAAATTTTTTTTTTTGTGCTGTTAGTACGGACGAACCGTCAGTACGAGCTGAAGAAAATGTTGAAAATCTGTATGGTTCGTTTGGACGAACCTGGGTTCATCGGGACGAACTGAATAGAGAGCTAGCATCGTCCAGGGATGAAACAAATTGGAATTAATTTTCGTCTGCACGATGGTAGTTCAGAGGAGATCGTCTCGAGACGATCGGGACATTGTCCTGGACGATCCTGTTTGATAAATATCTGAATAGTGTCATTTTTGAAGAGAGAGAAAGCTGAGGAGAGAGAAAAACGAAGGGAGAAGAAGAAAATCCGCGTTTTAGGCGACTTCGGTCCGTTTTTGTCTGTCGCCGTAGTTGGAAAAGTTGATCGACTCGAGGTAAGGCACATTCCGCCTTTCTCAATTTTCAGAAATGTGAATTTTGACGATTTTTTTGTTCCGCAATTTATTTCCGTTAGGGAATAATTATTTTTATGTCACACTGATAAACTTTTTACCGCGTAACTTTTGGTATGTTTTTGAGATGATATTTTTGCACGTTTTGAGCATTTTATGGAAGATTTGTACCAGGTATTTTGAATTCTGCGGTGTTTTTATCGAATAACGAAGTATCTGGATGTTGAAATATGTTGCTTCAGTACAATGAAAGTCTTATATTGATGTTTTGTACTATTTGTGGTAATTTGGTAAATTTCTGAATTTGTGAATTCTGTGGAAATTCTGTATACTGTCGTTATGATGCTGACGATTTTTCTGACGTAAGCTGATTTCTTGAATTGAATGAATTGATGTGTTTATATGCTATCAGAATGGAGTTATAAGGGGCCAGAATCTTTCGAGATTCTGTCTTTGTCAGGGAAACCTAAAAAGTCTGATTTAATCTGAAATTCTGTATATCTGACAAGTTCTGGTGCTGTAAGTACAAGGGAGATATAAGGGGTCAGAATCCGTTGAGATTCTGTCTGTGTCAGGGAAGGGAGGCATAAGGGGCCAGAATCCGTAGAGATTCTGTCAGGGTCCGGGGTTCTGATATGTGAACTCTTATTTTTGAGATCTGTATTATATGATTTTATCCGATTTGACAATGTGCTTATGATTTGTACGGATTTGTACTATTCTGTCTGTTCTGTGATTTAAAGATAATTCTAATTTGAATATTCTGCTATATGAATGAATTCAGTTCTTTTGTTTCAGTGGTTTGATTTTTTGTACGATTATCTGAATTCTGTACGACTACTCTTCTGATGTATTTGCTGATGTGAGAGTGTGACCAGTTCTTGGTCAGTCAGTGGGGCACCTATGTGCCAAATTTGTGGACGAAGACATTTTGGCCAGTGTTACAGGGTAACTGGTCAATGTTTTAGATATGGTCAGCCAGGACATCGGATTGCAGAGTGTCCACAAGCTGGATTTGATCGACGATCTGAGTCTAGATCTGAGAGTTTTGCTAGATCAGTAGGAAGATCAAGGACAGTTCCTCCACGCACTGTTTCTGAAGGCTCATCTGGTAGAGCTGGTGGTTCGGGTTCTGTAGCTAGGAGACCACCTAGTGGTGATCAGAGGGAGTCTGGTAGTTCCGTAGCTCCAGCTCCAGTTCAGCCACGTGTATATAGTTTGAATCAGTAAGAGGCTCGAGATGCTCCGGATGTCATGACAGGTACGGTTTATATTTTTGAACATCCCTGTCGTGTTTTGTTTGATTCTGGAGCCAGTCACTCGTTTATTTCCGAGCGCTGTTTTGATGCTTTGCATTTGGATTTTGATACGCTACCGGTTTCTCTTTCTGTTCTTTTATCGGCTGAGAATAATTTGATTGCTCAAAAGTTTTTTTTCTGTGAGATTAAAATTTCTGGCAAGAAGTGGAAATCGTGTTTGATCTTGTTGCCGATTTCTTCGTATGACGTGATTTTGGGTATGGATTGACTAAGTCTGTATGAGGCTCAAATTGACTGTTTGAAGAAACAAGTGAGCTTGCTTATGGATGGTTAAAGATGTGTATTCCAAGGGTTAAGATGAGTTTTATCATGTTTGATTTATGTGTTGGAAGTCAGGAGAATGTGGAAGAAGGGCTGTACAGTATTTTTGGCATCAATACGGGATATGAATATAGATGTGGGTTCTATTTCTGATATCCCGGTTGTACGAGATTTTCCAGATGTATTTTCTGAGGAGTTGGTTGGTTTACCTCCAGCTAGAGATATTGAGTTCTGTATCGATGTATTTCCGGGTACTACTTCGATATCCAAGGCTCCGTACAGGATGGCACCAAAGGAACTTTCAGAGTTGAAAGCTCAACTCCAGGAGTTGGTGGATAGAGGATTTGTTCGTCCTAGTGTTTCTCCTTGGGGAGCACCTGTTCTGTTTGTAAAGAAGGACGGGACAATACGTATGTGTGTTGATTACAAAGATTTGAATAAAGTTACAATCAAGAATAAGTATCCGTTGCCACGGATTGACGATTTGTTTGATCAACTTGCTGGATCTTCTGTATTCTCAAAGATTGATTTGAGATCTGAATATTATCAAGTGAAGGTGAAGGAAGATGATGTGATGAAGACAGGTTTCAGTACTCGATACGTGCACTACGAGTTTTTGGTTATGCCATTTGGGGTAACCAACTCACGAGCTGTTTTTTATAGATCTGATGAACAAAGTATTTAAGGATTACCTGGATCAGTTTGTGATCGTCTTTATAGATGATATTATGGTATATTCTGCTTCTAAGGAAGATCATGCCAGACATTTGACGAGTGTATTGGAGACTTTGAGGCAACATCAGTTGTATACTAAATTCTCCAAGTGTGAATTCTAGCTGAAGAACATTTCTTTTCTGGGTCATGTGGTGAGCGGTGAAGGTATTTCTGTTGATCCCCAGAAAGTTCATGCAGTTGCTAATTGGCCGAGGCCTACTACGGTGTTTGAGATACGTAGTTTCTTGTGTATGGTCGGATATTATAGAAAGTTTGTGAAGGGTTTTTTCCAGATTTCTGCACCTCTGACGATGCTGAATCAGAAGTTAGTAGCTTTTGTTTGGACACCGGAGTGTGAAGCTAGTTTTCAGATATTGAAGGATTGTTTGACATCTGCTCCAGTATTAGCACTTCCATCTGGTATGAAAGGATTTCAGGTATTCAGTGATGCTTCACTTAAAGGTTTGGGTTGTGTTCTGATGCAGCATGATCGGGTAATAGCTTATGCTTCAAGATAATTGAAACCACATGAAAAGAATTACCCGACGCATGATTTGGAATAGACCGCTGTTGTATTTGCTCTAAAGATTTGACGTCACTACTTGTATGACGTCAGGTGTGAGATATTCATAGATCATAAGAGTTTGAAGTATATATTTACTCAAAAGGATCTGAATTTGAGGCAAAGAAGATGGCTTGAGTTGATCAAGGATTATGATCTGATGATTCAGTATCAGCCTGTTAAGGCTAATGTGGTAGCAGACGCTCTGAGCAGGAAATTCTCTGTACTATTATGTGTTCAGCTCACTTTTGATAAGTATTTGATACGAGACATGAAAAGATTACAACTGGAGGTGATTTCCTCTACTGGTTCGGATTCTGGTGTTTTGACTCAGATGAACATTCAGTCTTCTTTGGAAGAGAGGATTCATGAAGCTCAGAAGTTAGACGATGAATATTTGAAGTTGACCAATCAGATTAAGTCTGGTAAGAAACCTGAACTACGAATTTCTGATTCTGATATTATTTTCTATAAGAATAGGATGTGGATTCTTATGTTTGTAGATCTGAGGAAAGAGATTCTGCACGAATCTTATTATTCAGGCTATATCATTCATCCAGGAAGTGGTAAGGTGTACGAAGATATGAAAAGTTTATTTTGGTGGCCTAGAATAAAAGAGGACATAGTGGAGTTTATTTCGAAATGTGAAGTCTGTCAGTTAGTGCAGGCAGAGCATTAGCGATCAGGAGGTCTTTTGTAATCGTTACCTATCTCTGAGTGAAAGTGGGAGGAGGCGACGATGGATTTTGCTATGGGTTTTCCCAGATCGAGGCAAGGGCATGATGTGATTTGGGTGATTGTTGATTGATTGACAAAGTCTGCACATTTTCTTCCGATTAGGTAGACGGATCCAGTGGATAAGTTAGCTCAGATTTATGTTAAAGAAATTGTCAGATTACATGGTGTGCCAAAAGTGATTGTATCTTATCGGGATGGACGATTTACCTCCAGACTTTGGAGAGGAATTCAACAAGGCTTGGGCACGAAATTGTATTTCAGTACGGCTTTTCATCCGCAGACTGATGGACAGTCTGAGAAGACTATTCAGGTACTAGAAGATCTTCTGAGGTTATGTGTTTTGGATTTTGGAGGCAGTTGGGAAGTTCATATCCCACTGATAGAATTTGCATACAATAACTGTTATCAGTCAAGTATTGGTATGACACCTTATGAAGCTCTGTATGACAAAAAACGTAGAACGCCTTTGACTTTGACTGAAAAGGAAGATAGACAAGTGATGAGTTCAACTTTTGTGGATGAAACTGTGATGATCAATTTGATTAAAGAAATGTTGAAATATGCACAAGATAGACATCATAAATATTACAATAAAAAACATAGACTGATTGAATTTCAGATTGGTGACTTTGTGTATGTCAAAGTCAATCCGATGAAAGGTGTTAGCAGATTTGGAAGAGTAAGCAAGCTCAGTCAAAGGTATGTCGGACCTTTTGAGATCATCGAAAGGGTTGGTAATTCTTCTTACAGGTTGTTATTGCCTGATCAGATGTTTGATACACATAACATGTTTCATGTATCCTCTTTGAGGAAGTGGATATCTGATTCCGGAAAGAAACTTTCTGCTTATGATGTTGAAGTTCAGGAAAATCTGCAGTATAAAGAAGAGCCTGAAAAGATTTTAGCTTATGATGTGCGAAAACTGAGAAGTAAACATATTCCTATGGTTAAGGTTCAGTGCAAGTTCAGAACGGCAAGAGATGCCACGTAAGAGAAGGAATCGGAAATAAGACAGTTGTATCCAAGTTTGTTCTGACTCAGTTTGCTTTGGGAATGTCAAGGTCGACATTTTTCTTAAGGTGGGTAGATTGTGAAACCCTTAAATTTTCAATTTATGTTTGAAATATTTTTTTTGTACTGTTACTACGGATGAACCGTCAGTACGAACTGAAGAAAATGTTGAAAATCTGTATGGTTCGTCTGGACGAACCGTCGGGACGAACTGAACAAAGAGCATCGTCTAGGGACGAAACATATTGGAATTAATTTTCGTCTGCACAATGACAGTCCAGAGGAGATCGTTATGAACGATCCTGTTTGATAAATATCTGAATAGTATCATTTTTGAAGAGAGAGAAAGCTGAGGAGAGAAAAACGAATGGAGAAGAAGAAAATCCGCGTTTTGGGCGACTTCGGTTCGTTTTCGTCCATCACCGTAGTTGGGAAAGTTGATCGACTCGAGGTAAGGCACCTTCCGACTTTCTCAATTTTCAGAAATGTGGATTTTTACGATTTTTCTGTTCCGCAATCTATTTCCGTTAGCGAATAACTGGTTTCATTTCGCACTGATAAACTTTTTACCGCGTAACTTTTGGTATGTTTCTAAGATGATGTTTTTGCACGTTTTGAGTATTTTTTGAGATGATGTTTTTACACTAATTGCATGCAAACCTCATATTTTAAACTACTGACAAATATATAATAAATATCAAAATTAAATTTATTTAAATTTTTCTTTAGGATTCAAATTTGATTTAATTTTAAATTCAAACATAAAAACATTAAAACTCATAATTTTGATATTTACTATGTATATTTTTATGCATTTTTATGAGCGGGTTGAATTTTTTTATAGATATTGTTTTGCCGGCTTTTTATTTTTATAATTCTATGAAGAAACTTAAATAAAATTTAATTTTAATTTTTGTTATATATTGACAATTGCCCACTAAATGCATAAAAATATTAAATATGAATTTTTATTTATGATTTTTAAAATATACATAATAAAAATTTAAAGTTTAATATAAATTAAAAATGCATGAAAATATACATAATAAATATCAAAATTTACAATTTTTAATGTTTTTTCCTTTGAGTTTAAAATTTAATTTAATTTAAATCCTAAAGAAAAACTTTAATAAATTTACTTTTGATATTCATTATGTATTTATAACTATTTTTTTATTTTATAAAATTTTATTTGAATTATTTTCTAATTATTAAAAAAAAAAGCAGCACCTCCAAAATGCACTATTTATTTTGACGCATGCGCTATTAAAAATGTTCCTCTTGCTAATTCTCAGACTTAACGTGCTCCTTTATAAAATAAGCCCAAAGTTATAATACCCAAATAAAATCAAAACAAAATATATAGCATAATTTAAAAAATATATAATAAAAACTATCCAAAAATAGATAAAAAAATAAAATTATTACTAGATATTTATATGTTTGGAATTAAATGAAAACTGAATTAATTAAATAAGCTAATTAAAAAAATCAGATGGCTTTCAAGTTCATGTGGGAACTTAATAGAATGGAAGAAAGAAAGAACTAAATTGCCTTCACCCGAACAGTTACTACATGCATGCATTTAGTACCTCGTCTTAATATCTTATGGAGATTTAATATAGAATTATTTAAATAGAAAAAAAAATCTTTTATTTCGTTCTATCAAATCATGTCCCTGAAAATTAAGGCTGGTTTTTAAAAGACCATTAATTTTAAATTTTATTTTCATAAGCTCAATGCATTAATGGAGGATTGGGTGGCATAGATTTTTTGTTAGTAAGATCGGTTCTCATCTTGAGATATATTTTGATTGTTAAAAAGACTTATATTTCATTGATAAATAGTTAATTATTATAGAATTTCATATTTAAATTACTTTATCTATTCACATTTTGTTCAGATAATATTAAAAAATAATTTTTAATATTTCCAGATTACTTTAAATCTTGGTTGATTTGAATAAAACTAATTATATTATAATTTGGCTGAGTTCAATTACACAGATGATTTAATTGATTTAATTCTAGCTATAATTTAATAGGGGTGTCAATTTTGGGTCACGGGTCCAACTCGAAACTGACCCGGCACTATTCGGGTCAACACGAACTATTTCTGCAAACGGATCGGTTTTCCAGACTCGAACCCGACCCGTGGTCCGGGTCAACTTGACCCGACCCGAATGACCCGGATTGAAAAAAAAACTGCTAGTTTTCAGATCCAAAAACGGGTCAAACTCCGCTTTTCGGGTCAAAAAAGGGTCAATCTCGGGTTGCCAGATCAAAAACTGGTTTTCGAGTCAAAACGAGTCATTTTCGGGTCAACAGGGCAACTCGAACCCGACCCGATTTTTGAATCGGGTCGAATTGTTGAACCAGAATCCGACCCATTTGGGGTTCGGATCAACCCAAACCCAAAATTTTTGAGTCGGACTCGGATCGAGTTTTCGGGTCGAGTCCAATTATGACACTCCTAAATTTAGGCTTCGTTTGATTCGGTTTATACTTACATAAAAAGGAGTTTTAGAAAAGGAGGTTGAGAAAAAGCCGTTCAATAAAATGGAGTTTCAATAATGAGATATGTTTGACTAATATTTTTAAAAGTGCTTATTAATACTTGAAAGTAATTTTAAATTGTTTGTTTAGGAGTTCTGCTTTTGAGATTTTATTATAAAAGACATTTTGTGTCCGAAACTCCGTTTTGTGACCGAAGAAGCAGATACGAAAAGAATTTTGTAACCGCCGAAAAAACGATGTTTATTAAAAAGGAATTATTGTTAAGCTTTGATTCCAAACAGTAAATACTAATTGATTTCGACGTATTCAAACGGAAACGGAGAAAAAAAGCCTAATCAAACGAGGCCTTAATGTAGTTCAATTAATTTAACAAATCAATCTATCAACCAAACCAGAACCAATCCATCCCAATGCAAAATCACTTGGCGTTATAAATACTGGGTAATTTAACGGCTTCTTGAGCAAGCCTTTCTTTCCTTCTTCTCTTCGTCTACTTTCTATATTTCTCTTCCTCCTCCTCGTCTTCTCATGGAAGCTCTTTCTCATCCAAAGCCAATCTGGTTCTGTCCAAAAACTGGAATTTACACCAGCAAACACTCCCCAATTCCTCTTACCCAAAACCCACTTCAAGACTTGGTCACTTTCCTTTTCTCCAAACCGCACAAGGGAGAAAAGGCCCTCATTGACTCCCTATCCGGTCTCTATTTCTCATACTCTGATATCCGCTCCAAGGTCGAAGCTTTGGTTTCTGGTCTCCATCAGGTTGGGATTTTGAAAGGCCAAGTAGTCCTCATCCTTCTTCCTAACTCCATCTTCTTCCCTATCGTACTCCTTAGCGTCCTCTCCCTTGGCGCCATCATTACCACCATGAATCCCCTCAGTAGCCCCCAAGAGATCAAGAAGCTAACCGCTGGTTTGAATATAGGCCTAGTTTTCGCCCAATTGGAGAAAGTTGGAACCTTGGATTCATTGGGTGTTCCTGTTGTTTCTGTCCCAAGTGATTTGAATTATGATTCGTCAAAATTTACATTTTTTGATAAGATGATTTCTTGCAAGCAACAAATTACTTTCAGGCCTGTGATTCAGCAGAGTGACCCTGCAGCCATACTCTTCACTTCTGGCACATCTGGATTTAGTAAAGCTGTCATCTTGACTCATGGGAACTTCATTGCCATGGTTGAGCTTTTCGTGCGGTTCGAGGCCTCACAGTATGAGAAGGAGAGCTGGAAGGATGTTTATCTTGCTACAATACCAATGTTTCATGTGTATGGAATGTCATTGTTTGTGTTTGGATTGCTATCTCTTGGTTCCACTATTGTTGTTATGAAGAGATTTGATGCTCATGAGGCAATTAGAGCCATGGATAGGTATGAAGTAACTCATCTTCCACTTGTTCCACCAATAATGGCAGCTCTCATAAAGACAAAGGATGCCACTGGGTGTGTTCTGAGATCATTGAAGCAGGTTTCATGTGGGGCAGCTCCACTGAGTCAAAAGCTGATCAAGGAGTTTTTATGTAGATTTGAACATGTTGATTTGATTCAGGTAACAGTGATGGCTGCTGGCAATGAAATTTTTACTCGTTAGATAAGAGGTTGATTTGGCTTTGTAAGTTGTTAAGCTTAGATTCTCACTTAAACTTCACTAAAAACTTGCTTATGTTTAGTAGAGGATATCATCATACAAATTATTTTAACTTTGAATCCAGCAGAAGATGCCAATTTACTTCAGATTTGACATACAAACATGTTTCTACATTTAGTTCTACAGAATGGATTAACTTCTTATGATTCACAATTTCCTAATGCGATTGAAGACAATCCTTGAACATGAAGGAGACTCTATCAAATAAATAAGCCATTTGATAATTTTTGCTCTTGCTTGGTTAATGAAGATGACTATGGAGTCCATCTTTCACTAATAAACTGATAAGATGGATAAGTTTTTAAAATTTAGTTTTTGATGACTGTTCTTTCTTACATCTAAAAATTAAAAACATTTTGGGCCAGGGATATGGCATGACTGAGTCGACCGCAGTCGGAACTCGCGGTTTCAATAACAAAAATTGCAAGAAATATACATCTTCAGGGCTCTTAGCTCCAAATATGGAAGCCAAAGTGGTTGATCAGGAAGACAGAATATTTTTGCCTCCTGGCAAAATGGGAGAATTATGGTTACGTGGACCTGCTATTATGAAAGGTAAGTAACTAAGATTTTATAAGCCTTTTATATGCTTCAAATTTATGCTATGATTAACTTTTCTTTCCTTCACAAGTCCTCTATATAACTGCAGGTTACTTAACTGATGAAAAAGGGACAGCATCTATAATCGACAGAAATGGTTGGTTGAAGACAGGGGATATTGGTTATTTTGATCATGATGGATACTTATTTATCGTCGATCGTTTAAAAGATGTAATCAAATATAAGGGGTTTCAGGTACAGATGCCAATACATTAGAAACCATTTTTCATTTCTGCAGCAAATAAGAGCTTTTATGACAGTACGAGAGGTTTTGTTTACTCAGGTAGCACCAGCTGATTTGGAAGCTGTGCTGACTTCCAACACTGAAATCATCGATGCTGCAGTGACATCGTTAGTTCTATAATTCAGTTGATTTTACTCTCAACAACTTCCTTTTTTTTTGTTTTAGCTTTATGTAATGAAAGTTTAAATCAACCAATTCTTTTTGTAGTGATTTGGATGAGGAAGCAGGAGAGATTCCTGTTGCATTTGTAGTTAAGAGACATGATAGCAATATTTCAGCTGCTGAGATAGTAAAATTTGTAGCTAAGAAGGTACTTTACAACCCCATCATTGTAATTCTGCAATGGAAGCATCAATTAAGCAAAAACACACAAATGAACTGCAACTAAGGGCAACTCCAATGGAACTGCAAACACTTGTTTGCCGTCTTGCTTTGCTCCAACCGACCGTTATTTTTAACGCTATTTGATCGCGGATGAACAGTGCGACGTCAATATTGGGGTCGCACTGTTCATCTGTGAAAAAAATTGGTCTCTACCGAACTTGGGGAAGAAATGTGCGAAAGAAGAAAACGATGGTTACAGGGCAAAATGACGTTCGATTGGAGATGAATCACGGCATTTTTTTGTTTCACTGTATTTTGGAGTGAAAAATAAGATTTTCGGTTGGAGATGCCCTAAGACACCATTTATATACGCAAGTATCGCACAGCCTGAAACAACAATCTGTTTCTCATCTTTCTTGGAAAAAGTTGTAATATATTTACATATAAAGATTTGTTTTCTCATATCCATTACTATTTTATTGGCATAGGTGGCTCCATACAAGAAGGTGAGGAGAGTGGTGTTTGTTCAGTCTATTCCTAGAACTGCTGCAGGAAAGATAATGAGAAGAGAACTCAGAAACTGCTATTGTGCCTCCAAATTGTAACATTTATTTTCCAAATGAAGCAATTTTTTAGTATAAAAATTTCAAATTAATTTTTTTTTTTACTAAAAAACTACTTTATATAACAGTAAGCTGAAATCATATTTAGAATTTGATGTTTAGATGCTATATTATTAAAATTAGTGAGATGTCTGATTTGAATTTAATGGCAATTTTTTATGTACAATCTTAAATTGTTCTTCTCTTTTTGGTTTCTATTTGATTCAATTTGATTAATTTTAATTTTAAATATTTTCAGTTATTTGGTCTAGCTTAGTTTGATGTATTATTTTATATTGATAGATATTTAAAATATATGAGATTTCATAATATTATTGAAAAGTTTGATTTAGCAAATTTGTTTTAAATATATCTTTATGTTTGGTTTGGCTAGAAAATGTCCAACTTCTATATATATATATATATATATCTGTTTGGTCATTAAAGTTAAATAAAACAAAATATCAAACCAAATGAAACCTAAATCAAATAAATTGGTTTAGCCAATTTAGTTCGGATTTTTATAATAGTTGATTTCTTTGGACGCCATTAATGAAATCTTTTTTCTCCTTAGATGAGACGAAAGATTTTTTGTTCTAGAGATTGTTGATACAACCTCAAAAAATCATCTTGATCAGGCACGAATCTCGAGGAAAAATCAAGTTGGAAACTTCTGAAAATAAAATTGGGACCATCCAAACTCCGACTTCAGCAAACTTAAAGTCGAACTGAATGTCTCAGAAATATGAACCAAACGGCACCAAATTCGACTCAATCCAAGCCCAAATGGGTCCAAATCAAGGGCCCGAAATGCTGTTGGAGGGGTTGAACCACAATTTGGATTACCAAACGGTTTACAAATGTGACATGCTTATATTTAAATTGAGTGTCTCGACAAGACGAATCAAATGAGCCCAAGATCACGGAATTCCGACATCATTAAAACATTTAAATATCTAGTGAACGGTCCACGATCAAGAGATTCAACATCGACCGTTCATTCAAACCACTCCCCATTTACTCTTGATCTTCCTCCTATTTATAGATTATGCAACTCTAGGAAATCTATAAATAGATCCCTCCTTCTTCTTAAAAAAGAGCCCCTAGGCCTAAGGAGAAAAGAGAGAGAACGGAGATCGCTCTTGCCTCCTTACTTTCTCGAAAACCACATGGAGTTCCGTCGGACCACCGCCTGAGGTACGGAGTTCCGTCAGACCACCACCTGAGGCCCTGAGTTTCGTAAGACCACCACCTGAGGCCCTGAGTTCCGCCGGACCATCACCTGAGGCCCTGAGTTCCGCTGGACCACCACCTGAGGCCCTGAGTTATGTCGGACCACCACTTGAGGCCCTGAGCTCCGTCGGACCACCATTTGAGGCCCTGGGCTCCGTCGGACCACCACTTGAGGCCCTGAGCTCTGCCGGACCACCACCTGAGGCCCTGAGCTCCGCCAAACCATCACCTGAGGCCTTGAGTTTCATCGGAGCACCACCTGAGGCCCGGAGTTCGCCGAACCACTACCTGAGGCATTGAGTTTCGTCGGACCACCACTTGAGGCCCTGAGGTCCGCTGGACCACCATCTAAGGCCCTGAGGTCCGCTGAACCACCATCTAAGGCCCTGAGGTCCGTTGGACCACCACTTGAGGCCTTGAGTTCCGCTGGACCATGTCCGGATACCCGGAATTGCTGTCGGACCACCACCTGAGGTCCGAAGTTCCGCTGGACCACCACCTGAGGCCCTGAGTTCCACCATACCACCACCTGAGGCCTGGAGTTCCACTGGACCACCACCTGAGGCTCTGAGGTCCATCAGACCACCACTTGAGGCCTTGAGTTCCACCAGACCACCGCATAACCCCAAATTTTTATCCCCGTTTGTCACTAGATTTCAACCATATGTTTAGCATTTGTAATCTAATCACTCTTTAGGACGAGTTAGCCCGCTATAATCTACTCGAATTCTAATGGAATCATTTGTAACTAGGCCAGGCCCCATGGTTTTTTCCCTTTCCAGGGTTTTCCACGTAAAAAATTGTGTTCTCTGTGTGTGATGGATATACGTACAACACTAAGACATAGGATTATAACTCTATTGCCGCGCATATTCTAGCCCGAAATAATTGTAATAGAGAATTTGGGGAAGACTATGCTCAAGTTATTCTATGAGGATATAAAAAATAATAAAATCACAAATAATGATGACCACAATGGTTTATTGTTAATCTTCTGAAGTAAATTATTTGCTCATGTGATCTTGAATAATAATTATTACTTGAAAAAAAAAGTATGAGTGATCTTTATAATTCTAAGTTTTTAGTTGGTATGAGATTTATTTACAGCATGCTCTCTTATTATTGTTTTGTTTTAATCTATATAGCTTGTTTATTTAAAATATAGATCAGTAACTAAGTTTTGATTGAACAATATTTGTCGGAAGCCTGAAAGATTGTACATAGTATTTAATAAGTTGACTTTCAATTCTTTGTTGGACTAAGCTCTCTCTCTCTCTCTCTATTTATATATATATATAGGAAAGACATTTGGTAGTTGACAAATTCGTCAATCTTCTTAAGTGTGATTTATTTTTATAGAATAATACTTGAAATATTAGGTCTTGCTGCATGAAGTAAATTTGATCTCTGGAATGTTTGGTTACTCATTTGGAAATGTATTGAATAAAGTTTAATAAATTGGTATCATACTGAGGTTTAGGATTTGCAAAGATGGGAGTTTCTAAGATTAAGATTGAGAGTTTTGATAGTAAGACTAATTTCTTGATTAGAAGGAAATTTATGAAATCCAAGCAAGTCTAGATTAAAATAGCTAAAGCTTTGGAAGTGGAAAGAAATTTGCTTGGTTCTTTTGGTGCATATGAGAAAACTAAAATCATATAGTTAGAATATATGTAAGAACAAGTTGGTCCTGTTCAGTTGAACCAGACCCTTACACTGAGTTGATGGGTGAGCAACAGGTGCGAGTGGGCTAGCCAATAGAACAATCAGACAAGTAGACAGCTATGATTTGAGTGCGCGAAAGTTTAAGAGTGATCGTAGGAAAGTCGTCATAACTCCTTATATGAGATAGATTGATTTTGTGCACTCCTTTGTAAACCATGAACAAATAAAGGCAGTGACTGAGAGGAAGCTGTGCTTGAGAGGAAGGAGCAGGAATGTTTGTCCGTCAATTTTTTTCAATCCTGTGCAAAATTATTCTATGATTTAACCTAAGCATAAAACATTGTTTTAATTAAAGATTATGGAAAGAAAGAGAAGGAGATTTGGAAAGAAAGAAATTTTGGGGAGGAAGAAAAAGTGAGCCTACATTTTTATCAGTGAGGAATAAGTAAGTTGTTTAAATTTTGTCTTTCTTGTTTACATTTAGACAAGAATGTTGCGAGCATGGATCAGAATGCAAATGGTACGATCGCATTATCCCATAGGACAAAATAATCATAGGCCTTTGCACTCTATGCAAGCAGGACAATGAGAGAGCATATATGATCATACGTACGATTAATCATAGATGATAGTGGATTTCACCTACAAACCTCGATGAGTAATAATATATATGACCTGATAATCATGAGATTTTCCCCCTTCGATACATCAGCTCGAATGAGATTTATTTGATCTAGGTGTTGGTTTCCCATAGAGCCTTAGCACAAACCCTCGTGATTAATTACACCTTAGGCCTCGACCTAAGAAAACTCTTGATTATAGATGTTATATTATTCTCTTCGTGGTTTGTCTCATAGTGAGGTATCTAGACTATCATAATCCAAAGAAAGACAAGCTCAATTAGGCTATTCAATATGCAAGGATCATATAAGCACTCGGTCAGTCAAAAGAGAGGAAATATGGGATGGAGACATCACTATGGACCTCCGAAAGGACACTGCCGGCTGCAGAGTACAGAGAGGATACGACCACACCACCCCGAGGGATAGACACGATCACAGGCCTCCACGCTCCTCGCAAACGGGCCAACGGAAGGGCAGATTAGATCGTACATACGACTAACCATTGAGGGTAGCGACTCTCGCTAGCGCACCTTGATGAATAGTAATATATACGACCTGATCGTAACAACGAGTTTCTCCCACCAGATACATCAGCTCGAGTGGGGTTTAGTTGATGGTGGAGTTCCGTTTCCCACGGGCGCAAGCCCCCGTGGTTAATTACATCTCGAGCCTAGGGCTCGAGAAAACTCTCGATTAATGATCTAATAATATTCTTCCCGGACAAGGGGATTGACACATAAAGGGGCAACTAGGAAATCCTACTTAAAAGGAAAGACATGCTCAAGGGGTTTAGTCAACATGCACGGTTCATTTTAGCATCCGGAGGGACTAAGGCAGTAAAAAGAGAAAGAAGATCAATCACTCAAAAGATGGAAGTGACGTCATCTACGTGACGCAGATAAGCAGGATTTATAGTCCCTGAAGAATAGAGAACTTACTATTTAGGCATACTACGAGACGCCCAGTATAGTAGCCTCGAATCATATATCTAAGGTGGGTTTAGTGTTCTACCCAATACTAACACCTGTGTCCTAGTTAATGCACATGGGCTTATACCCTGCCTGAAAAGGGATGCCAGCTAACCATCTAGGCGTGTAAAATCCATGCAGTCCAGTCTTTATGAAAGATAGGTAGGTAGGTTGAATGTTTTGGAAGTAGGGCCGATATCTAAAGAGTTTCCTAATTGCTCCTAGACTTATGTAGGGTGAATGCTCCTAGAGCTAATGCAATTAAAATTTTAATTTAATAAGTTTCTAATGTTAAGCATGCTAGTTAAAAGGTCTAAATCATGTATGCATAATATTTTAAAAATAGAATTATATAAAATAATTTTTAGAATGAGACTAGACTTTCCAAGGTCAAGCACCTCATCCTCATAGGTCAGATTATCCGGACTCTACCCGCAGGCGGGGAAGTGTCTTAGAACAATGAGAAAAAATGATGCATTAATATTCATGCGACCTCGGACGGCTCCGGCTATTTCCTAAGTCGTTAAGTTTCTAAGTTGTTTAATTCTTAAAATTTTAAAATTAGGTTGTTAGTAAAAAAATAATTTTTATCTTAAAGAGCCTAACATAAATTCGACCGTACACATGCAAGAAAGAAACCTATTAACAACATGCAATTTCTACTGCACAAATAATGTGAACACA